CTTAACTTAAAATCACATCTTAACATTAAAAATATATGTAATACCCCAAAAATTTGTATAATGACCAAAATGAAAATTTTGAAAGTTTGATGGTCAAAGTAGAAAATTGGGAAAAAGTTAGGGAATTAAATGATAAATTTCCTAAAAAGAATTTTATTCCATAAATGGATAGTTTACTCTCGAGAGTGGAGTTTTATAGAAATTATATTTTTGGATTTGGAATTTTAGTAAAGAAAAAATAGAAAGGGTTAAAGACGATAAGGAATCAGAAATACGGATCGAATTGGAATGTTACAAAAATTTGAAGGATGTTATAAAATGGTTGGAAATATTATTTTAATACGTTGGATCAGAGAAATTTGGTTTGAAAATGTGCAATTTTTCATATTTAACTGAAACAGTGGAATTTAATGACTAAAACGCAAGATTTGAAAAATTCAGGGGAAATTTCAAAAATAAAAGTCAAAATAATTCAGCTTTGACTTTGAAATATAATAAGGATGAGTTGTCATGATTTTATGGTGAATAAGAGGATTCATTAAGGGTAATTTGGTCTTATCCCAATTAAATGAATATCATATTCATTTAAAGTGGAATGAAATGTAAATTAAGATGAGATGTTCCTCACATTTCATCCAAAATTGTTCTCTTATTCTCCAAAGCTGCGTGGGTTTTCTCCTAAGGTAAGAGAAAGCTTCAATTCAATTTTTAAGCAAATTCTTTAGGATTTGAGTATGATGAAAATAGAAAATTGTTATATGCGAAAAACGCTATCATTTGGTACCAATATTGCATGATATTATTGTTAGTGTTCAAGTTCATCTTGAGTTGATGAAAGGGGATGTTGATTCTTGTGTTTTATGGGTTTTGAAAAGTTAAGTGATTTTAAAGAATTGGTTGTAAGAATTGATGAAGAACCTAAGGATTAGGTTAAAGAAAACAGTTTATATTTTGAATTTTGCAGTGGGTTTGGAAATTTACCAGAAATTATATAAAAATAATTTGGAGGTTATTTTTATATATTATGTTCATATATTGATCTAGTTATGTTTAAAACAAACGGGGATCAATTTAAAGTTGTATACAAAGAGATATGAATTTTTAACCAAGGAAATGTCAGAAAAATCGGACAGCAGATTCTGCAAAACAGATTATGTTGGTCAACTTTGAAAATTCACCATAAATTGTACATAATGAATTAGAAGGAGTTATTTATATGGATAGATTTTTATTTGAGTCTAGTTTTCAACGGAAGAAACGGAATTGATTTCTAGTGTGTATAATACTGGTTATTTAAAGGTAGTGCAAGTTGTCAAAATATGGAAATTTTAGAAAGTTTGGTGATTGTAATACAAATTTTGAATTTTTGGGAGTGTTTATTGTAATTATGTCTTGTATGGGTACTTGGTTGATAATAATTTCAATACTGGAATTTTTGTATTGAAATTTTAAGTGGTAAAATGGTGAAGGATCATTTTATATAAATTAGAAAAGTTGGTTCCAATGTTAAAAAGGGGATTATTAAGAGTTAAGTATTTTGATAGATAATGAGTTTCAAATATATTATGGAGTTATTTTGGGATATGTTTATGTTAGTACAATACTAACATATGTATTATTATGAATTTGTTAATTATACATATTATGATTGATTTGCGATTGAAGCAAATTAAGAGGGTTTATTGTGGAACAATAGTGAGGCTCATATTTTGGAAAATTATAAAGTGTCAAGGTGAGTGCAATACATGCATGAAATTATACATGTATGTTTTACACATCATCAGGAAGACTTGCGATAAGTCGACCTTTTTATATCAACATGATATTATGTCATATTTTTATAAATTGACATAACATTGATATGTTGCAGTATGAAATTATAATGCATTGATTATGGAAAATGTGATATTTTACCATGAATATTATTTCGGGTATGAACTGCACAATGTTAAATATTGATAATATACTTTGCCATGGATGGATTGAATAAAATAGACTATATGCCCAATTAAATCATTGAGGGACAAGGTATAGTTGGCATGCCATTGAGTATAGCAGCTGCAAGTTTATATTAGCACTATAGTGTGTAAGGACATTAAGTGCAGGTTTATGTCTGGATTAGCACTATAACGTAAGCTTAGTGTAGGTGGTGGGCACGACCTTATGTGTATTGTCCGGATTAGCACTATGGCGTAAGCTTAGTGCAAGTTTAGCACTACGGTGCAAGTATTTTACTCGTATACCCAAGGTCCTCAGGGTTGTATATTGGGCTATTATCTATGGCATATGGTTTATTGCTTAATAAATGGTAAGCATATAAAATAAGCTTACGAGCTTATGGGAATAAATGATAAGTATATTGGTAAAATAAGCTTGCGAGCTTATAGAATAAATGATAAGTATTTTGTTAAAATAAGCTTACAAGCTTATGGGATAAATGGTGAGAAATTTTATATTATTTTGATCATGAAAAAATATTGGATATGCAAATTACATGATTTTATGGCATTTTGAATTTGTCATTGAAATTCATGCATGAATTGTATTGCACTGTTTATTGTTTTAAATTGCCTCACTAAGAATATACTTAGCATGTGATGATTTTCGCGCTTAGGTAAAAAGCCAGTAGTGGAATAAAGAGTTCAAATTGTCATCAAGCATCGAGGAGTATATTTTAATATCAGTAAGACATCCTATGATGGAATTTGATTTAGATAGTGGCATGTAATTATTAAGGTTTTTATTTGTTCTGTTAAATGTTAGCAACAAATGATATGATTAAATGCATTTAAATATTTGTGTGATTTGATTGAAAAAAAATTAAAAAATGGTGGTCAAAATAAAAATGAGATATAACGTGTATTTCAACTTTTAACTTTTGTACGAATCAAACAATTTCAATAATTAAGAATTTTGTTATAATCATTTGAAAATTTAGGTTTAAAAACCACATATGCAATAACATGAATACTCATTGTCAAATAATTTATTTATTTTTTTAAATAAATACTACTTTATATTCATTATATATATATATATATATAAATATAAATTATTAGTTTAATATTTGATTTGTTCTCTCTCATATAATTAGAATGTTTAGTTATCTAAAGTTTGCACCAAAATTAAATATACATATTTGCTGATGATTCGTTTCAATCTGAACTAATTTTCCCCCTCACAAACAATACTTTTTATGACTTCTCATCTTTCAAACAGTTCAAAGCTCAAACTTCTCTTGATTCCTCGAATCACCCATGACTAATAAAATCGTTGTTTAGCTTTTCCCTCCTTACATATCTATGTAAGGTTTTAATCTGATTAATCTATATCAACTCGCATTATACATATAATTTTAATAGGTAAGTCTTATACAAAAAATTTCTATTAGAAGATTCATCCATTAAAATTAGACGTACGATCTGGTTCAATCCAGATTAATCATAACAAAACATTAAAAATGAAAGATAACAAAAAGAATTATCTTTAAAAATATTCTATAACCACTTATATTTTATTATGATCTTTAAAAAAAAAAATTTTAAATTATTGAATAATTTGATTTATGCTATATTTATATATATATTTATAGTATACATATATATTTAATCTCAAAATCAGAACGAAAAAAAGTATAATTTGTATAAAATAAGGTAATTTAATTCGTATCAAAATAATTAACTAAAAAATAAATTTCATTATTCTTCCTTACCAAAACAACACCAACTCAAAAATATTCAACAAAAAATTAAAGAGGCAAAAATGAATAAAAAATCTAAAGAGGGACCTATATTTTTCATAAAGGTAAGTGATTTCCCCCATATTAGCAATTTTTTCTCCTGATTTGAGTTTGGATTTGAACTCCTGGAAATACAGTGAGTGATTTCATTTACACCGTGATCAAAGTTTTTGTTTTTAGTAGCATCGCTTTTGTTGCATCTTTTTTTTGTTGTTGAGATTTTGGGTCTTAATCATTTCTCTCTGATTTCATGGATAAAGACACAGTTTTTTAATTTAAAATAAAACTTTCAGGTGGGTATATTTTTATATATTGAATCATATCAGTTCTGAGAAAAAGCTTAATGAAATTCTAAACTGGGTTTTAATTTCTAATGCTAAATTTCTATTTTGGGTGTTTCATTTTTTCTGTTGGGTTAGTAGAATTTAATCTCATTTGTTTATTGATCAAGTTAAGTTAAAGTATATCATGAATTTTATTTTATGCTCAGATTTATGTGGAAAAAGGCTTAATTTTGCCACATTTTGATGGCTTCTCATTCTTACTAGAATTCAATCACATTGGTTGAGGGAACAGTTTTATTGCGATTTGTCATTAACTTTCTGTATTTTCATGACCGAAGGTTTGATATTACAGGATTCAGCTTATTCTATGACATTTTTATCCATTATTTATCATTGCATTTAAGTAACACCACTAATATGTATATAACTCACTTATGAACTGTGGAAGCCATCCTTATGTAGGGTGATTGAAGTCGTATTGGATACTCACGGAGAGAAAAATAGTGGAAGGATGCTATCCACTCGATAATCTAATTCATGTTCATTGTAAAAATATATAGATTGGTTTTTGTTTGTGAAATCTGAATTTCCAAAGTACATTTGCAGAAAAGTTATGATTTTGTCTAAAGTGTTTTGGGGAAAGGAATTCCTGACTTCCTGTTTTTTTTGGTTTGTTTGTGATAACATAATTCAGTCACATTGGCTTTTGGGAACAAGTTGGAAAGTTAAATGCTTCAGAGAACTGTGTTACTGGTATATCTAGTGATATGTGTGATAGAGATTTGATTCACTAGTCAATATTTTTTGTATTTTTTTTAACCTGAAATGAAAATTGTGTGATTCGATTTGCTTCTAATTGCTTGCAAAATAGGACAATTCTTCATTGTATGTTCTTTTTTGTTAGAATTTTGTGGGGTTGAGTTAATGATAGGGTGAAAGGAAATGAGTGAGGAACACGGGGTCGGGTTTAAGATACAATGACTGGAAGGTCATTGGGTCTACGTGCAGGGAGTTATGGGTCATTGCCGAGCATAAAAAATGTTATTGCTGGTGGAGAAGAGTTTTGCACTCTAAATCATTTGGTAGTGCACGAAAGAATTCAATCATGATGCTTTTATTAGAGAATTAATTATAACAAAATTTATTTAAATTTTAAATTATTGTAATCAATTATAATATTCTTGTGATTAGTTGTAGGGAATGTGCCTTGTAATTAGTTGTAATCCCCTAACTCTAGGCTAGTTTCCTATTTCTATGTGCCCCATCTTGTGTATATATATCCACTCTTAATCAATTGAAAACTCAAGCCATTGTTTCTCAATACACTTCTCTCTATTTCAACAGCTTTCAGGTTCTAGTGAAAAGGAGAGGTCTCTCCCCTCTGTTTGGTATCGGTGTCTAGGTCGCCGGAAAGTTTCCATGCTGCTTCTGGTTGCCCTTGCCCTTTTGGTCTTCGTCTTGGGTTCTTTTCTTGTCAACAAAGGTCAGTTCCTTTATCTGTTACTCTGGATTCAAGTTCTAACTTGTTCTTGAATTTTGATTTCTAGAGCGCTAAGGCATCGTTGACATGTTTTTTCTGTACTTGGTCTTTATAGGCTCACTTACTGATTTGCGTAGTGACTCTTTGACTTTTCATTCTCGGCACAGTAATTTAATTGAGACAATAATTATACATATTTTTCTGTTTTGCATTCTGTACGATTAATGAGACAGAAAGCAATAGTGCAACTGTTGATCAACAGATGGAAACGACTCATTATCTGAATGGCGGCCATAATGAAGCTTCACGGATCCTCAGAAGGAAGGATCAGCATAAAGATAAAAAGTATTCTGCAGCAAATAGTGTGAATGGGGGTGATGGAAATAGAGTTCAAGTTTCTGCTTCTAAAGGTGCGAACCATCCATGCGCGAATTAGACGGATTGGGCCTCGACGTAAGTTTACGTTCATTATTCTTTTTATTGTAATCAGAGTTGCATTAAATGTCATTATATTAATATTTTTCACATGGATCCATAAAGCTGTAGATTTAGATAGAAGCAACCACATCTGTTTAGTAATGACATAATATATTGACAAAAAGCCATTTGATTATTCATTATGTTCTTTTTTTTGTAGGAATTGCAGGCCTCATTAAAAACCTCCTTCTTGATTAAAGGATCTTGTAAAAAAGCTCCTTAATCAGCAGAAGGAGGAAAAGAATGCCTTAAGATTTCATTAACCATAAGAAACATAAGAATACAACCAGGTTGCCACCCCCAACATAAGCAAACAACCGAAAAAGCTCTACACGACAACACTAACACAGCTAAAACCTTCTAAGCTACAACAACAGTCACAAAAATGACTGACCATCCTTAACACCTGAACATAGCCCGAAAACCAACACAAAAACAAACCATAAGCCGAATATCACAGCTGACTCAATCCATAAAAGACAAAATCAAAAACAAAATCCTGAACTTCCGTACGAACAGATAACCAGAAACAACATCCGCATAAAAGACAAAATCAAAAACAAAATCCTGAACTTCCACACGATCAGAGAACAAGAATCAGCTTCCGCCTTAACGCCTCTTCCTGCTCGACTTGTCGGCAGAAACCATCCGAATTACCAACTTCATACAAATAAAAAGAAAAGAATCACCTGAAAGTTCCAAAACATCCACTGCCTTAACCTTCCTTAGAGGACTCATGCTTCGACTTTAACGAGGCTTCCTTTTTTGAGCCGCAAATTTCACTTGAAAATTTCTGAGCGAACTAAAAATTGCATTCCTCTCCTCCACAGCTCTTTGTTTCTGATGCCCATCCATCATGGGAACACGTCCATCCAACATGGGGGAATGAAAAGTATATTCCTCAGAAGCACGTGCAGGCTCACACCTTTTCCTGTTGTCTTATGCCCCTCTCTTATTGTGAACCAGCACTTCCTCGTGTACCCCAGTAACACTCTCCAAAGCCTGAAAATTACCACCACTTTGATAGACATGCTCCTGCACAACTGCCCCACTAACCAAATCCACCTTCTTGGTCTCCGAGAACCTTTAGAATTGAATAAAAACTTAGACTGCCGTAAGCCACCATTTCTATTAGAAGACAAACACCTACCACTAACATCAAGAAACGTGTGATGCTCAACTTGCGAATGCACATTATCAACTCTAGAATCACACACATCCAAACCTGAGGCCACGTGTATCCCACTAGCTCCCTCCAAAATGTTAAGGCCTCTACTCCTCTGGCCAATCGTAGATGCCCCATAACAAACTGTCGGGTTAGCACAAATCGACAGCTTATGCCCATGCACATTATCATCGATAGCATCACACAGTTCCACCTCAGACCCCACTTGCTCCCCCCTAACTACCTCCAAAGAAATAAAAGTGCCACTCTTCTGGCTATTAGACCCATGCGCAGCTACCCCATTACTGACTGTCGGGGACATAACTTTAACAACCCATACCTCACCTGAACCACACAAACCGCCCCCAGTATGTGTGCCATCAATAGACGCTCGATTTTCTAGCTGAACTTCCTTAATATTTGTGGAATCATAATTAACTCGTGAAAACGTTCCAGCACATACCGCCAACTCGGAAGACTTTACTGGCGAGACACCATCGAAGTCCCCCTCCGTGGGTAACGGTGAAGCAACTGCCGTTTCCGATACAGACGAATCCTCCCAGACGGAATGAGGGCTAAAACAAGGTTCAATCTCGAATACTGAAAAAGACTGATCCCCGACTTTCAAAACACAGGATTTTTCCACACGAACTTTACAGTTCGTAATGATATGAAATAAGGCCCTATCAAACGAGCCAGGATATAAGGTCCCTGCGTCAATTGAGATAAGAGATCCCCATTTTTCTGCAATGTTTCTGAAAGTAGAATGGCTCCACACAAAAGGTGGGATCTCTCTGCACGATAACCATGCCCGTCGGCTGCTACACTGAAAGTTTTCCGACCACAATTCCACCTTGTCAAAGCATTTATTCAACGCTCAAATCTGATTGTTTAGAGCAAAGTCTCTACTCTTTTCATCTTCAAAAATGATCAGAATCGTGTCTATACGTGTCAACAACCCATTTATTTTCAAAAACCCTAAACCCTAGAGCCTCTCTTCAAAACCCTTCGCCAATATTCTCAAACTCCAGCCTTCAGTTTCCATCTCTCAAAAGCTCCAAAACAATTACTCTGGTTGCATCAATGGCAACAACAACAGCAGTTGCAAGAAATCTTCTGAAAAGTAAAAAATCGTTGCCCCAGATTCTACACGGCCATATCCTTGGTCGGTCCAATGCTACTGCAAACCTCGATAACATAGCCAAAGATCACAGCCAGATTGTTCAATCTTTATTTGTTTCGAACCTAAAGATTCACGCCCAAATACCCATATTTGATTTCACTCAAATGAGGTCTCTCATCGGGTGTCATGGAGCGCTGACACTGGAGGAGAAAGGTGGCGGCAGCCATAGGATGGGTGGTCTCGTTGTCGAGGCTCGTGGGAAAGTCGTGGTGGATGACGACGACGAGTTTGTTGATGATGAAGATGTCGAGTTTGATGCTAAAGATGACGATGACTGTGATGATGGTGGTGATGATGATGATAATGGTGGTGGCAAGTACAAGAATAAGTTTTAAGTATATTTGATCATGCAAGTGTTTCAGATACGGACAAGCATGAAATTTCATAGGAGAAAAGAAAGAAATATGGACGATGATGAAATTTCATAAGAAAGAAAGAAAGAAAGAAAGAAACTAACTGTTGAAATGCCACGTGTGTTTTAGTACTAGTATTTTACCATGTTATTTCATGTTCTTCTGGTCTTTCTTCCCTCAACTTGCTGTATTAAGGTTTATCCTTCTTTTATAACTAGACTAGATAAGCGATCTTGGTGTTTGAAGACTGAAGTCTATCGGAAGAAATAACCAGTTTAACAAAATTGTATTGATTATCTGCTTAAATTTTGTTTAATCTGAATTTTCATTGTAGAATTGGTAGCTGCGTTTGGATTTGTTGATCAGAATCGCCCTTTTCATTCCACTCTGTTTTGGGTTAGATTGTATTAATGGCTTATAGTTATTTTTTGTATTAGTTTGAAGTGATTTATCTGTTTAAATTTTTTTAATAGTTAATAATGCAACATACTCCATAAAGAGAAATAAAAAGGAAAACAAAATCGAACTTAAAACAATATTTTCACCTACGTGGAGGACCAAAGTGGACATTAACCGTTTCGGGATGGCCCCATTTCATAATGAAAATCAGCACTTGACCTGCTAGGATTCTTCCCCGAAAGAGCTTCAGTATTGGTTTATGGCCGACCACCACGAGCTTTCAGAGGCATTGAACATAATTGCTGAATCGTTTGTTTCTTTCTTTCCTTAAATTGATCTCTTGTGCATCTCTTACTTGATGTCCATACAATACAAACGCTAGTTTGAAGTACACCTCTCCCCCCCCTTGATGTCATCATCGTCATCATCTTCTCGGTATAAATACGATGTTTTCTTGAGCTTCAGAGGTGAAGATACTCGCAAAAACTTCTCGGATCATCTGTACGAGGCTTTAAAAAGGAATGTAATCATCACTTTCAGGGATGATCCGAACCTTGAAGCTGGAGAAGAGATCGGACCAAATCTTTTTGAAGCAATCCGAGAGTCGTGGTGTTCAATCGTCGTGTTTTCCCAAACATATGCTCATTCAAGTTGGTGCTTGGACGAGCTTGCTGAGATTTTTTAACATAAAAGAGAAAAAGGTCATAAAGTTTTCCCTGTTTTTTATCAGGTTGATCCGTCTGATTTAAGGAAGCAGACTGGCAGAGTTGGAGAAGCCTTTGCCAGACATGAACACACACACAAAGACAAGATCCAAAGTTGGCGTAATGCTTTAACTGAAGTGGCAAGTCCCCCCCCCCCCAGAAGCTTTTGTTAATCTTGGGTGCTTTAATTTCCATTCTTTTGTACTTGAGAGAGAAATGAAATTATTACAATTTGATCATCCCTTTTCCTACACCATCCTCTAGTAGAAAAGGCCTTAATCTCATAGGACATTGAAGATGAATAACCCGAGTGAATCACTTGAGCCATGCTTAAGTTACTAGATGATCTGCGTATTGATTGCTTTCTCTAACTTATGTATTACGTCTGATTTCGATCCCTTAACTTTCCTTTCCAAGCTCATAACTTCATTTATTAGTGTGTTGAAGGGATGCAAATCCACTGCACCACGGTTAAGAAAATGAACGATCACCGCCGAATCCAGCTCGAACTCTAAGATGGCCTTTTGGTAGCCATTGTCTTTAGCCAACAACAGATCCTTGCGAACTCGCAGAAGTTTTGCTTATAAACTATTTGTGCACTCTGTATTAAGTAAGAAGGAAAATGCTTTTACCAAAGTGTTTTTCAGTAAACAGATTGTACCCAACATCCCTAAATTTCCAGAAAATAAATCTCGTTTAATCGAGTCAACATCAGACTGTGTACCTTTCTCAGCAAGACTTCCAGAAACCTTAGATGCAAGCCCAAAGTTCGAGTCTTCACACATGCAACCGGTGGATCATCATAGTGTTTCAAAGTTACTATATTCTTGTGAATCATGTCCCTAAAGAGAATGTGACCCTTCTATATGTTATTGTTATACTGGATTTCCTGGTTGAGCTTTGAACTACTAAAAGACAATAGCCTCAATATCATGGCTGCCTGTTAATCTGGCTATTTCCCAATTTCGACATCAGAGCCATCGTCCTCCTCTTCTACATTAGTTTATCCTTGAAACATATTAGAGAACATGTTTGAATTCATCAATGAATCTTTATAAGATCCAATCCTGATGCTATTTCCTGGTTTTGCTTCACTGCATCTTGATTTGGACATTATTGTGCTTCTTCCAAGATGATCTTTTTCTTCAGTGGTGC